AAAACTATAGGGAATGTAGACTAATTATAGGCTTAAAATCCAACCCGTATGAGATAACATAGCAAAGAGTGATAGCTAAGCAAAAACTTTTGAAAAAAATAAATAAATCTAGATAATTTGCGGTAGCAGCAAAGCAATAATAATTTTCACAAAACAAACGGTTCCTTACAAGAACTTGATTCTGCTCATTCAGCTTGTATGGCAGCTATATGCTACAGTGGTTAGATATCGACATTTCCGACAAATGACCAGTTTCTTGGGGAGAGAAGGAGGTGTGCAAATTTTCAGATTGATATCTAAAAAATTGAAGGACTAGTTCGCGTATATACAGACAGACAGATATGGCTAAATTGACTTAGATTGTTAATCTGAACATTTATTTAAATGCATATATTTTATAGGGTCACCGACGTTTCATTCTGGGTGTTACAAATTTCGAGGAAAAATTAATATACTCCGTTCAGGGTATAATAAACATATAACTAACTTAAAGTTCCCCATCTATTCTCAGTGGGGGACTTAATAATATAATTAACCCCGCTTTGTGTTTGAGGAGAAAAATTGCATTTTCATTATATTTGCCGTCTTTAACCCACCGGAGTTTAATGAAGCTTTGAAAAAGAGAAAAATTGTCACCCATTAGACTTGCAAGAATTCGCTATAGCATAAAATATGCCTTATATAATTTTGTGGTTCTGTGCAGAGAATAATTGACTGAATATAAATCGAAGCTTTTTTAGTCACGTACACCCGATAAAAATACATAAACATCCGGGTCACAGAGGATCAAAATGCATGAAGCGAAAAGTTTGTCTGTCGATTTTTACTATTGAAAAAAAAAATTGAACATCGAGTTTTCTGGGAATTTTGTGTTTCCAATAGAATCACGGAATCTTACGGAATTGTCAAAAATGGTACAAAATTGTCTTGGGGAGTCTACTTTAACACGAACACCAGTATTTGGGCGACAAAAAGCATTCAGTGAAAACTTGTCTCATGCGAGTCCTCCACCCCTGTAAATGACAATAACATTGAAAAAGTTATAGAAACAGTGCTTGAAAATCGTCTTGCTGGCATCAAAGAGATAGCAGACTACTCCAACATTATTGCTGTTGACGAGACGTGAATTTATAAATATAACATCGAAAGTGTTCAACAATCTGGCGAATGGCGTTACGAAAATGAGCCGAAACCGAAGTGTTGGCATGTTTGTATTGGAAGCCAATTTTATAAAGATGTGTGCTAAAATACGAGAATATGTATTTTTTTTTTTGTCAATCCAAGTCATATTTGATCAAATGGTATAAAGCTTAGTTAATTTAGAAATTTACAGAACTCCTACGACATTGCATTGTTTCCATTTCCTCATATATGTCGTTAAAGTTATATGCAAATATTAAAGCTTAATAGCCATGTTGTAGGGCTTAATTTGTCTTCAATTATGGCCAATAAAATACAGCATTGAGAAAGTTTTATCAGAATAAAATGTTACAATATATATACAGGGTGGTCCATAAAAAAATTTTCCAAGTCAATCTGGATCTTGAAACTAGCACGCTATAAACCAAAAAAGTTAGACAGATAGTTAGCAAATTAAGTGAGGCTTGCACCGCGACCTAAGGTCTATTGTGTCCTCCCCTCTGTCACAACGAATCACGTAAGCCCAGTACATGAATAAATTCCAGTATCCTGCTGGGTGCTATTGAGGCGATGTGATCCCTTTTCGGATAAATAGATCCAAGTACATTTTTCCTGCGAGCAGCAGGTGCTCGAGAGTGTCTGGCGCCAAGTCGCAGAACCGACAATTCACACAAGAGGCTGAACAAATGAATGTGATCGCGGTTCATAAAAATTATCTTTAAAGTTCTTTAAATAAACAAAAACGCTATACCTGAATCACCCTATATCTTCGACCAACTAATACTTTGTTTAAATCTTGCAATTTTTAGTCTTTATACACGTGTCTGTTAAATAATTTCCACCCAAGGTTTTAAGTAAACAAATCCATACCAAATTAATTTGTGATAAGAGAATTTATTACTAATGGGCCTGCAGCAACAAAACTTTCGACAACCCGCGGCATTAACTGTTAATATTTAACTAAGATTACTACTCCTCCTCACTAACCAAGTGGTGATTTCATTAATGTCGTGTTAAGTTGAGATTGGCAGATTTTAACACGGTAATTATTAACGGGCTAAAGGTTCTATATTAGAAGAGATTTCGCTTCACAATTGAGACCTATTTGGTGTAGGTCATACAAGTATAATCTAATATACTTTCAATATCGGGTATAACACGACATTCTTCCTAAACTCGTTGTTTGCAAAACAACTTTACGGTGTAAAAATATTTGAATTACATTTAGATTTTAAACATTTACGGCGCCTTCTTAAAAGTGAAGATCCACACTTTTTATGAGTGTTATAAACGAATACTGTAGTAGCGGTTATCACTAGCAATGGGATTCATTGCATAAATTTTATTCAAGGCGGAGTTCTGAAGAATATCTACAGATAATTCTTATCAGGAAAATAAAAACAAAAAAAACCTGAAATATAAATATAAAAGATATTAGTGATATATTTTTTTTTTGCACCTACCCGTTTACCAAATTTGATCCTGTTTATTAGGCTCCTGAGTGAATACAAGCACGCCAACCTTTAATCTAATTTCCATATAGTTGTTATAAGCCTCGCCTGAGATAGCCTTTAGTACCTTAGGCGAATTTTGGCTCATATTTGTAGCGCCTTGCGCTAGATTGTTGGACACTTTCGACGTTATATTCATAAACCGACCTCTCGTCACTGGTAATGATGCGATTGATGATGGAAGGTTCCTACCTTGTCAAGCATCTCTTTTGCAATCTCAACTCGTTTTTGCAAAAGTTTCAGATCTTTTGGTACGAGTCTAGCATTGACAAGCTTTATACCCAAAATATTAACCGAAATGTGTTTAGTCGCTCCATAAGAGTTGTTGAGATCCTTTGCTATCTCTCTGATGTCAACACGACAATCTTCAAACTCTGTTTAACTTTTTAGAATATTAACAGAGGTAGATGCACGACTCCCATGAGGCAAGATTTCAATGACTTCACGACCTTCGCTGAGTGATTTGTGCCACTCAAATACTAGTGTTCTTGATGAACTAGACTCTCCAAAACACTTCTGCAACATTTTCGATGATAGCCGTACCCATAGCCGTAATTCCATAGGAAACACAAAATTTCAAGCAAATTATTCGCGCCGTAAACAAACAGCTGCCAAACATACACTAATTGACATATGTAGATATGGCGATCAAACTTCACACGAACATATATACAAAAGGCTTTTACCAATCTAGTAAAAAAAATCTTCATTCAGTTTGGGAGCGCCGTATATATGGACTATACCGTGTGAAATTTGATCAGACAGTACACTTGATAGTAGAAAAAGTAGCTTTCTAAGCTCATTGGAATTATGCAAAAGCATTACTAAGATCGCGCGTTTCCAACTCAGTTTCCACAAAAGTTATTAAAGACCAGGATTTTCAAATCCTATATAAGGCTACGAGTATAGGAGTGGTTGCCTAAATCAGGTGTGATTCGATATTAAGTTGAGAAAAAAATAAATAATCGACTCTGTGGACTGTAGGCAATCTCGTTTAAACTACGGGTAACTTTACTCTTTATGATGTTTTGCTAATAGTCTCTTGATATTAAGCAATTAATAATAACAAAGATATCAAACTATCTAAGTAACTTAAGTTACGAGACTTTCTAAAAGTAAACTAAATTTGAATATACTACTTCTCTTCGCCATTTAATGTAACTATAAACTGATGGATTCCCAAAAGACAGTTGTAAACAGTTACAAGCAATTTAAATTGAACTATTGTAGTAAGGAACTATAAACTCGGACGACATCGAAAATAGAAGTCTCTATACGTAACGCACTAGACTGATTTGAGATACGGTGCACCGGAAGAATGGAGATCTCCATATTCCGGCGACTGCAGGAAGGTACAATCCTATATCCGCCACTTGAAACAGAGTGAATGATGGCAGCCCTATTTCTACTAAGTTTTATCGTAAAATTTTTTTTGATGCTTTGACTATCGATTTCAAGATCAAATAAGCGGTTAGGACTGCACTAATGGGGCTTTTGGCCTAGACTAGAACATAGGAGATCTACTGAACTACTTTCTCTTAGCAAAGTACATCTTATCGCAATCGTAGGGGTTCTTACTGGACACTGTCCGATAGGCATTTATGTGGTAAGGCGAAAATACTTGTCGGACGTTAGTTGTCAAAGTTGTATGGAGGAAGGTAAAGAACTTTCTCCCACATTGCATTGGTTGAAACATTTCGGCATCTTACCTTCGGCGATCCAAAACACGTAGCAGAAACTCACATTAGCCGTCTCAACAAATTTGTGATATGTTCAAAGCGCTTTGCCTTTGGTTTGTCCATTTTTAAGCTAAGCGTAAAATTGGTCGAGTTGTTTTGAAGATATTATAAAGCTTTGCCTAAAAATGGGCAGGTGTCACATCCAGATGCAAAATTTTCGAACTGAAATTTTTTTGAAACTTTGAAAAGATTAGTATCAAGTCCTAACATGATCAAATTTTATGTTTCTGACAAAATATGTAATAAAATTCATGTTGTGACTATCATGAATCGATTCCACCCAATTTATACAGATCACCACACCTTTATGTGATATTAACTTTTACGCAAAACACTTCCGATTGATTGAAGGTGTAACAAACAACCGTTATGTGAAGGAAACATGTGTGTCAGAGTAGAAAATTTTACTTAAGAATATATGGAACTAATTGCGAACCTTTATATAATATATAGATAATACCAAATTTATTATACAAACAACTGAAACTTATCATTCGTAAGCGTTTTCCAGATAGAAATAAAAAAATATACTATGTATAAATTATCAGCAAAACTGAAATATAATCTAAATGAATCGGCTGAATAAATACATCAGATAATAAAGATAAATGTCGAATGAAATTTTATGGATGATTTGTTAGATATAAATAGGCGGATGTTGCTATAAATCATCGCAGTTACTAGTAAATTAAAACGACGAACAGTGTTTTGTCTAGTGAAAGCAATAATAAAAACGAGAAAAATTAATAAAAGTCGGATTTTGAGTTACGAAAATGTTTGGAAAAGTAAGTCCAGGTGGCATATATATACGTAACTAAAATAAGTGCAGAATTGAAACAGACATCCAGGATACAAATCATAATGAATAAATGGCCGAAGTTTTTTTTGAAGTATTTCAACTTTACTACACTTATAAGAAATTGTGTTCAGGTCAGAGTGAGGGATCACGATCTTTGCGGACTGGAGAAAATACATTTTAGAACCAAATAGTAGACATGTATTCGTATAGCTGTTGACGGGAATTGCTTTTCATAAAACCCATAAAACTCATAAATCACCTTTGGAACCCTTTTCTTCTGAACCTTATTTCGGCGCCGTACACCAAATTATAAGCTCCAACAAATTTTGTGTCCGTTTTTGGATGCTTTGTGCAGAGTTTTTAGGTCACGAATACACTTACGGATTAAGGGTCGTCTCCAGAGTATGGTTCATTAGCAGCAGGCACTTTTGTAAAATTTCGAATTTTCATGCGAATTTGAATTTATGAACTCTATATCGATCCGCCATAGTTCCGTCATTGCAAAGGTTCAACGTCTTTGTCTTCAATCAAAGTACTGTATTCTATTACTAAGTTCAGAGACGGCCTCCGGAGAACTCTGACATTATGAGATATAATAAAGTATTTTAAGTATATCCGCAAAATTTGTGAATGTGAGAACTTTCTGTAGTCAGTGCAAATATTTTTACGTAGGAAAAGAGCACTTTGCTCTATTTTGACGTTGAGCTATTCAAAAAGATTGTACTACCAGACTTTGTCGTTTTAAACATTTTGTATGAGACGAGTAAATCTCTAAATCTTTCTATACTGTATTCGTTAATCCTTTGGTTAGTTGGTTGACTGAAAAGGGAGGCGCAAGAGCGCCAAACCTTAGGGGGCCGCATTTACCCCCGGATGGTAAAAAATTAGGCATTATCCAGCAACTCAGTTGATTTATTAAAATTCAAAATTTTTGTCACCTCTGCTGCCTAATGTTTCTTACGTTAGAGCATTGGAAGCCATGAAATATATCGTGTCTCATCTGGCAGAAGGCTGGGCTTTCGCAAAGATAATGTTTCAGCGTCTCATCATTCTCCACGCATGCTATGCATTCCGCCGAGTCCACTTTTTTTAAAGATACAATCCTTGAAGGACATGAATAGCTTCTGAGGCAGCTTAAGGGAATTGTTCTCCCAGCTGCCCCGAGCGGGTCGGCTCCCCTGCCTTTTCGTTTTCTTCTATCCCTACATGACTAGGTATACAGATGATATTAGCCGTGTTACCTACTGAGAGTCTATTTATTACCTGCTTACATAACTTAACACAGTGACACTTAGTATTGGCGCTGCGGATAGCTTTCATAAGATAGATTTTGCCGTAGTGAAAACGTTGTGTTGCATTCCTCATGAATCTCCTTTTCTCGGTTGCATATGAAACAATCTCCGTGATGACGCCGAGTCTGGCTCCAATGGTTTAAAATCATGAGCCGGCAAGCCGTAAGCATTGATGTAGTTTTCATTGCGCCCGTAATCCCCAGCAAGTGGAGTTGCTGCACCTGTCCCTGGGGATTAATGCGGTACTTTTTCGATAAGGCATTCGACGACACCACCGCACCATATGTTAGTAGAATATATGACGGATGACACTTGATCCAGATTCGAAGAGTTTTGAAAGCCCTGCTCTCAATGTTTTTTATCTACGATAACTCCGAGACATTTGACAGTGCTCGAACGTGCAATAGTTCTACCTCTTAAAGATGGGAGAGTGAATTGCGTAATTTTTGTCCTTTTTGTGAAAAGGCAGAGTTTTGTTTTCTCCGCATTGAAAATTAGGTAGAGACACTCCGCCCCATTGGCGGATGTCAAAGACCCTTTTATGAGCCGGGATGGGTGATTAAGATTCATTCCTGAATACAGGGGATAAGATACCTCTTTGCGGAGTGCCACAAGTGATTTGGTGAGCGATTTTTATAACTTTTCCATCGGATTTGGTTTATCCATTGCTTAACTTATGACTTAACCAGGCCAGGATGTTCTGATTAATGTCATAAGAAGCGATAGCCGATATCAGTGCAGCCATAATAGCGTTGTTAAATGCACCTTCTACGTCAATGTTAGGGCTGGGGTGAATTCTCGTTTTTTTAAAGAACTTTCGATTGTCCCAACTAATTCATATACATATTGATTGGTCTTTTAGTACAAACGATTTCGGTAAATAAGTAAGCATTAATACCCTCTCTTCACAGATAGTAACAATTTGTATGTTTGTGGTGTTGGCGTCAACATTAGTCTCGAGTCAGTCGCAATGTGGCGTTTGTATGCCGAATTTCGCGCAATGCATAAATGAGACCAGCTATCGACTATGCTATGAAGCGACGACAAGTGAGTATTTAAGAATTATACGAGTATACAAATATTATAACCAGACCTTGCATATTTAACGGATATTTGATCCTTGCAGTGGAACCGGTTGATGATGAAGTCTACACTTGCAAATCCAATGAATACTGCACGGATTCCGAAAATATATGTGAGGCGAACCCTGATGGTGTAAACATTATAGCAGTTTGTGCAGCTCAGCAAAGTTCTGCAACATGTAGCACATGTACGGGCAAAACAAATGGACAGCTTGTTTGTTTAAGCACAACGGAATTCGGTATATGTAGAGGTACTACAACGGTGGAGTCTACTAATCCCCTCCCTTGCCCGACAGATCAATTGTGCAGTGAAGAATTAGTTTCTCAATATAATTTGAAGAAAGTATGTGCGCCGCAAGCTGTGCTCGATTACGTAAGTGCTAACTGAAAAATAATAGATAACGATTGTATAAATGTATGTATGTCAAATTATCCTGCAAAAAAGTGCACTCCGGTTCAAGTTTATTTGATGCTGAAACTAGTACAACGTGTATTTCCCTCTTTCTGGGTACATACGAATATTTACATGAGTCCCTCTCTGTATAGAGGATATTATGTTATCTATATATATATATGATTTTATATATGCATATTGATTGTGATACTTTCGTTTGGATTTACAGTTTGAAATAAGTGCCACTTGTGCAAATGAAGATGCGGTAACTCAAGCCACCACTAAAGCAACAACAGCGGCAATAGATACAATCAGTTTATGCGAAAGCTCGGGCAAAACCGGATCGTATTTCCAAATAGCAAATGCGGAGAATTGTCAAACGTAAGTAGCATCCACATGCTGCACTGAAATCTCGGCTATCGTGAACATATCGTAATAAAAACGTGTTCGATTCAACAGGCGACTAGTTTAATAAGGCAAAATTCACTATTGACACATTACGCTATGTTTGGGTCAGCATGGCTAGTTTCGAAATGAACACAGTAGAGCTACGCCCACATTTGCAGTGAAACTTCTTTAAGGACAGAATAGTGAAGCCAGTCGGCTGTAAGGATTAAAAGTTGAGGCAAACGAAATAATTTTCTAAATTGCTCCTTATAATTGTGAGGTTTGCTAACGGTTTTAAGAAACAGCTTACAGTTGAAAGTAATTCCTGAAGAGTTGCCACATATTTAAAAAAAATTAACTCCCATAAAATTGATAGCAACTTAGACCGACAGATGAACAGACTAGATAAGAGTAGTATATTTGAAATGTTTTATAGTAGATAAGACTTATTCCGCATGTATAGAAAATAACCTTTATAATAAGTAAAACTATCCCACTCTTTACTAAATTCATTGTTTCCGCCATATTCAGGTAGTTCTAGGTACACAATTTTCTTTTTGTGCTTTTCTACTAGAAAAGTATCGAAATTCACAAAAAAAAAATTTACAAAAAGTCGAACTTTTATAAATATAAATAATATATAAATAATTTTATTTTACATTATTTTGATTTCTTATCTTCCTTAGATATATTTATTGTCAACGTGATGGCAACTCCTTTATATCAATGGTTATGCAATGTAGGGCCGCTATGTTTTACAGCGTAGCGCAGAATAAATGCATTAGTGCTGTACAGTGCCCACAATGATTGCGAAAAGATGAATATAAAGTGAGCAAGCTTGAAGAATAAGAAAGTACACATACGAGTTTTCAAAGTTTAAAAAAATATAGATACATTTAATATATAGCTTGTACACTCATACATACATATGTATGTATGTATATATATATACAAATAAAGCTAAATGGAAAAATGAAATTCTTTAAATATTTGGTACTTTTATATTAACGCTATCAAAGCGTGATTCAGTGAAAGAGGTTGATTTAGTTGTTGTTTTCCTCAAATGAAACATATGTGATATAAACTGAACCAAAGAAGCTAAATTTAATATTGACTATGAGAAGCAAACATTAACCAGCGATAGGCCTGGATCTGATCGTATTAAATTTTGGCATTACCTTATTTATTGACCGATATACATAGAATAAATCCCACCGGAAGTTTGAGTATATAAATTAGGTATATGGGGGCTACAGGAAGCATTCACTCGATTTCATCCCTTTTAAATATTAGTATAAAGTATAGAGTGAACCGGTAGTTCGAAAAGAAACCTCTCCGAATATCAATAATAGATCTCACGGATTGACCAATATTTTCAGTCTAAGGTAATTTATTTTAAGTTTTACAGCATGCGTGGGCGGACGGGCAGACAGTCACCCGGAATTCAACTCTTTTCGTCTTCCTGATCCTTTATATGTAACGCTATATCCCTCTCAATTAGTTTTAAGTTAGTGAACAAAACTTTTGTACTCTGTAGATACATGTTGCAAGAGTATAAAAAATCCCAAAACGTTCCATCACCCATTTGGAAACATTATAAAAAAAAGGAGCCACCAATTGACGGCGAGAAACGCATGAAAAATCAAAAGAAGCGTGGTTAAACATTTATTAAAGACATACATAAGTATCAGTTATAGACATATTGGATTATTGCTAGCTTCTTCGCAAGATAGAAGCTTGTAGCTCAAAAACTACAATATCAGTATATCCAAATACAGCCACAGTTGGTTGAACAGATTTAGCAGACAATGAAATCCAAAGTTTTTTGAACTCGAATTAACACTTTTCACTTGGTTTCACTTACTCGTTACGCCTGACTTTCTTACATCAAGAAGTGCCTGTGAATTACTCAAAGAAGTTTCTTAAACAATATATGTAGTAGGTATATATAAAATGAAATCAACTATAACGGCACCACAGCACGTTTCGAAGATACAAAAACAAAATTGCAATAAACTTATAGGAGAAATATACATATGAGTAGGTATATATATATGTACATATGTATGTTCGCTCAAGATCAAGATTATTTGCTTTAAGATAGTATCTTATATACCTACATATATACAAGCAACATAGATTCGTACAAAATTTATACACTTACTATTAAATATTTTAAACCAAGATAAAATGAGATTTTTCTTAATTAGGCTAATGTTAGCTGGAAGGCTAGATGATAGTTTTAATTTTGTGATAGCAACATGTTACCCAGCGGTAAATACGATAACCAAAGTTTGTGCTAATAGATAAGTATTAGGAAGTTTTAAATTGCTTTAAATTAAATTTTGTCTACAACATACATTGCAAAATGTACTTGTATATATATTTATATATGTATTTTCTCAAGAGCATTGTGTAATTTTTTAAATAATAGTTATTTATTAACTTATATAATAGAGGTACAACCCCTTTGAGTTATTATTAATGACACTTAACTTTTAAATATAATCGCTGAATCAGGTTACATAATTATAATAATGATTCGAAATTATTTTTTTCCAAAAACCACAAATTCAAACATTTAACATCACCTAACTATTATAATAGACTTCGATTCAACCGTTAAAAGGAAACAATGAATGTCATATTCGAAATGCTGAAATGTCGACCAGTGCTGTATAATAATGAACGTGTTTTGAAACTAGTTCTCCAGCAGCCTTATATATAACATAGTATATAAGCCATAAACAATATTTACATTAATCTTAGCGAATTGCGGAATTTTTTAAAAAGACAGAGAGACAATAGCTATAAAAGCATAGTCGCGCTGAAGTTATCTGCGAAAGCTATTGTCAACTAAATTAGTTAACAAAATGCAAATTAAATGCGTAATATTGGTAAGCAGGCGCTGTTGTGCTCATTTTACGGTTATAACATTTTAACACTATATATTTTTTTCATTGCGGCCACAGCAAGCGCTTTTCATCTTTTCATCAAGTGTTTGGTATGTGAGCGGCCAAGCCTGTAATGTCTGTCAGAGCAATAGCGCAGCGTGCATTAACGAAACATCATTTTATCTATGCTTTGGAGGTACAGTTACAGCTTACAAACATAAGTGATCCTTTTTACTAAACAAAATGTATGTAACAAACATAGGCACCGTACCCATAACGGACCAGATATTTCATTGCGCTGATGGACTCATCTGCTCGGATTTACCCAATATTTGCTTCCAGAGCAATGGTGCCTCTGCAAGCTGCGGTGATACGTCTAGTTGTGGATTGTGCAATGAAAATCAAGTATTCGCTTGTACGAGTCGCAACACGTTTGCATTTTGTTTTGGTGCAACACGACCCACTGATGTGACTGGCAGCTGTCCGACAGGGCGACTATGTGACGCATCAACGCAGAATATATGCGTTATAGAAGTGCAGGTATGTGTAAGACTGTACGGTATATATAAATAAATACTTGATATATGTATTGTATAAAAACGAAAGCATATATGAACTGATAAGAATAACAAGAAAAACGTTAACTTCAGTTGCACCGAAGCCATTCACAAATAAAAACCATACAAGTAATTTATTTTGATCGTTCAGTTCGTATGTCAGCTATATGCTATAGTGGTCCAATATCGGCGGTTCTGACAAATTTGCAGGTTCTTAGTTCAAAAAGGACGTGAGCATACATATGTAAACTAACTGCACTTTATAAGGAAGTATTCATAATATATAAATATTAATAGTATATACAATAATTCCGAACGATTATTTTGGTTGCCCTGATGGATAACTAAGCTCTTTATTTCCAACTTACTGTTATTTACACATTTTTCTTATTTTCTTAAAGCTATTTCACAATAATGATTATTTCTTACAATATAAAGAGTGTCAGTTACAATGTTAGCTTATTCAGTAATTGGTTTTATATTGTTTACATTTTGTGGGTGGTCTGAGCTGAAAGAAAAACATATTAGTTACTTAAATAAGCAAAGACAAATTAATTTTGTATACAAATTATATGCAATATTTTTGTACCTCTTTAGTCCTAATAGATATTTTTAAATCTTACCATATATTTATTATTCTTAAATAACAATAAATATTTATTTATTTCAGAGCACGTCAATTATTTGCAATTTGGATAGTCCGGTAGCAACAAGCTTCGCAGATAATGCAACAATGTTTTAAAACTTGTATCCTGTCAATGAATAAAATTATACAAATTTCTATTTTATCTATATAAACACTAATATTCTTTCATTAAATCAATAATTAAAACTAATTAAAAATTCCTTTTTACAATTATTTTCTTCTATCTAGATATTAGAGATCCTCGTCTTCATCTATTGAATTTGAAGTGTCTGCAAGCCATACTCTTACTTCACCTAAGGCGGGTAAGCGGAAACGCCACTCATCATTTATATATTTATACACTTCATCGCCAAGTTGTAGCAGGTCCATAGCCACACGTTTTTCGTCGGGTTTCCAATCACGATCCGCGCTGCCGAACATCTCCATGCGCAGCAATGCAAGCATAGATGATGATATGTATTTTTTAATACCGTTAAATAGTTGTGCCTTTGACGGTGTGTTTTGCATATTATTGTGTCCAGCTGCAGTGTGTCGTCGATTACCAATGACGATCTCTTTGCTCATTGACGATGATGATGACGATGCCTGACTAGTAGTTACTGCTTCTTTTTGATTTAGCTGTTTTTGTTTTTCATATTCCACGCATTTTTCACTTAAACGAGTTTTTTCTTGCTGCAAACGTTGGTTTACTTTCGAAGTATTTTTATTGATCTCTAACTCATTTCTATATTTATTATCTAATTCTTCGTAGTTTTCCAATAAATTTTGGTATGCAGTACTGACTTTTTCTAGCTCAATTTCGGTGCTACTTAATATGGTTGTTTTCTTTTTTAACTCATCTTTTGATTTCATGAGCTCCGCTTCCAGCTCCTGAATCCGTGCTGACAATTCCTCTGATTTCTTAACATATTTCTCATCTTTATCTTGCAACTGTTTAGACAGTTCATCACATTGTTGCTTTATAAATATATTATCACTTTCCAATTCGACTGAATTCTCATTTATATAATTGTCGATCTGGACTAAATCATATTCGCCTTCTTCTTCTTCTTCTTCTATTGATATATCTTCGACCGGCGCTTCAGGTTCGAAATTATCGTCGATATCCAGTGGTATATTCAACGCTGTGGTACACTGGCCGATTTTTAAGTTAATAATTGTATCAGCTGATATAGAGTCACTTGCTATGGAAGGCAAGTTGATGGCGGTGGAATTTAAAATTTTCATTCTCTTTGCATCACTATTATCCTCAGTGTTCACATCCTCGTTCCTATTCCTTTTTGCATTAAGTAATTGCTTAGCTTCAGCTGTGTTTCCTAGTACAATATTATTTTCCTCCAAGTATTCACTTACAACCAAATTGTCATGAAAGGAAAAGGCAAACACATATCCTTGCGGCGGAATTAAATGTTTTAGTGTGCAATTTGGTAACTTGATCAATTCGGGTCCACCGTTCTCCTCCACTTGAGCATAATCCAAAGCCATTTCGTCATTTAAGCGCAGCAGTGTTGGCTCAGCGCCCTTATTTATACCGTCTCGTTTATAGTTTTTAAAGCATTCATCACGAAAATGCCTAGCACAAATAACGCGGTTCCTTTGAAAGGTTTTTGGCATGTCAATAAAGTGCATTGTGTTGGCTAATGTCAACCAGCGTTTGTAGCGCTCCTTATCATTTAATGGAAAATGGAAGAAATGCATGCCGGGGTTTTGAGACGTCCCCACACTGCAATCGCGAAATGAACAACGACATCCACCCATTTTAAAATAGAAAACAGCAACAAGTCAGTAGTTTTTAAACTTGAACACGACAATGAATTGAAAGTTTTTGTAAACAAATGTTTATTTCTGTTCCTACACTGAGTTAATAAATAGAGATGTGACACGCTAATAAGGATTATTCAAAGTTATCGATAACTTTCAAGTATCAAATTATATAAACCCTTCAAGAAACCGTAATTCTTATCATATCAGTCGATTTAAAAACATAAAAATGTAAGAAATGCAATTTTTGGTATTAACTGAGATTAAAGACGAATTTTACATATACATAAAAAATATTTTATTCTTGTTTTTTATTGAATGTTATACAAATAATATAAATTAAGTGGGATTAAATTATTTAATCATATTTATTAAGAATGAGAGGAAAATTTATATTAAAATTTTATGTCGTTAGTTTTTGAAAATAAATAGTTATGTAACGTCTAACCTCAGGCTTAGTGAGTAATATCCCATAATCGATTAATGAGAGCTCAATGTCCTTGCCATACTGAAAAAGCCCTTAAATGTTGTTTGGAAACATATGCATTATATTAGAATGAATTTTATTTTTCTAGTCAATGGTTTGCGCACTAATTAAAAACGCGTTATAACTTAGTTGTTGTGATATTGCTAGATATGTGAGCAAAAATCATGTATTTGAAAATTTGTTACCGGTTTATCTGGCATGCTGTGGTTAACTTTTTAATGAAAGTTGGCAACGACGTTCGGTTAGTGCGCTAGTAGCGGGCGTCGCGATTTTCTTAGTTTGTTCATTTTAATAGCTGCTCAGCCTTGTTAAAACAAATAGAAAATGAAGAAAAATAAGCCACTTTTGCATGATCCTTTAATAATTAATCGTGTTAAGCAGGTAAATATCGTTGAATAGTTAAGCTCAATGGCCTGATGTTGAACATATGTTGAGGTTATGTATATGAGGCTTTAAACTTTGAATTGGGGCTACCGAAATGACTGCATGTTTATATGCCGGATTAATGAATCGGTGATATATTTTTTGCAGTATTTAGAAGAAAATGTGGACAAAAAGTTTTTGGATGTAACTGTAATGACAAGGCAGTTAATGGAGCGTTATCCCGAGTATACACGTCGCAAACAAGCCCCCTTTCGTGCTCTTGTTGAACAAGGTGAGTTAAATACATATGTTTTCAGAGAGATATATGTACAAGTGTTAAAAAAGTACTACTGCTAATCGTTTATTACTTTGCTTTTGTTATTTGACTTTGTTTTTATTGTCGATTTCAGCTTATCGCATTGTTTCGCACAGTTACGGTTTGGAAAGTCAACCGTCTAGTGGAGATGATTCGGATGGTTCTGATTTGGAAGTTATGGACGTAAGTGTGTTGATTTTATCCATAATATCTATAATAACATCTAAGCCCTATTTCTAACTGTCTATCTATTTTTCAGGATTCGGTGTCCAGTAATCTGATGAACAATTTAATGAATAATCTATATCAAAAACCAAAGACAAATGCAATGAAACAAACAACAACTAAACAAACTGCTGGTGAAGCGATTGATATCAGCAGCGATGATGACAGCGCAGATGATACTTGTACAAATGGCAAATCTTCAGATGGCAGTAAGTAAATACTATTAAATGCCAAGCTTGCGCATAATAATTTTGAATATTGGTTAAATTTTATTTTTCGAGTAGTAGCCCAGAATGCAACCAGTACAACAAAATCATTTTCCGGTGTTATACTCACTAAAAGTAATGTACCGCAAGAGTCATCGTCCAAGGGTTCGTCAAATTCAGCTACGACCGATTCCACTAGTGGCGTATCTGTCACGCTTGGTGCTCAGAAGCGTCACGAGTTTCCCGAATCGACGGAGCAACAACAACAGCCGCATAAAAAGCGTAAGTTGGAGCCGAATGGAGGTATAACTTCCGAATATTCCAAGTTCAATACGAATATACAATTCATATCAATAGAAAAGAACGATAGAACTGCTCAACTGTATGATAGGCGTGACAATGAGCAGCAGCAGCAGCAACATATGCGTCAACAACTGCAACAAATGCAGCGTTCAAATCGTTTATCCGGTTATCAACAAAATAATGATGCCGCTTCTGGGGCATTTCCAACAACAGCATCAAGTCAAATTAATCAACTGCGTCAACGCAAGTTCAAGAAAGAAGTTGTTTTGCGAAAGTCACGTGAAACTTTCCAAGACATCGGTGGCATGGAAAAAACACTGAAAGAGCTTTGTGAACTTTTAATGCATATAAAATCACCGGATATTTATTTCGTTTTGGGCTTAATGCCACCACGTGGACTACTATTACATGGGCCACCTGGATGTGGTAAAACCTTGTTGGCGCATGCTATTGCAGGGGTAAGTATATACATACAAACATAATTAAATATTTGGCATACAATATTTGCCAATTTAATTAACAAAAATTTTCCAGCAATTAAACTTGCCACTAATCGAAGTTGCGGCCACTGAATTGATTGCCGGCGTCTCCGGTGAGTCGGAAGAACGCATACGGGACGTCTTCGAGCAAGCGACTATGTATGCGCCTAGCGTTTTGTTTATCGATGAAATCGATGCTATCTCATCGAACCGCTCGATGGCCCAAAAAGATATGGAACGTCGTATTGTGTCGCAATTGATTAGCAGCTTGGACAATTTGAAGTTAACAGAAGATGGGCAAAGCGTTTTGGTGATTGGCGCAACCACGCGACCAGATGTGCTGGATCCGGCATTACGTCGCGTTGGCCGTTTCGATCATGAGGTTGCTATTGGCATACCAACGCGTAAAGATCGCAAAGATATATTGACAATAATTTGCTATGGACTGTTGATTGATTCGAATTGTGATTTCGATAAAATAGCCGAGCTAACACCTGGCTATGTCGGTGCCGACCTGCTAGCGCTGGTTTCGCGCGCTGCCACAATTGCAGTCAAGCGGAAGTAAGTATAAAAGTTTGAAGGCAATAAACCATATTTTTCTACTGAATATTTTCGCATATATTACCAATAGGTGTTCAGAATGTATACGCGCTTTCCAGTTGGAATCGCAACGCAACATCACCATAGTGGATTTGGACGATGAAGCTGATGAAAGCACCGATGCTAGTAACAAACCAGCTGAGCAAAACAAAAATGGTAAGGATGAAGCATCAATTGATGCAAATGCCAAAGCAGAGGACGAACAAACAGCAGAAGGAACACAATCTAACGCAACCAGCAGCGCAGAAAAAGCAGCCACAGAAGATGGAGAGGAAAAGCCGGAAAGCCAAACTAATGGCGCCGAAGCGATCGAAGCTACGACTACTGAAAAGAAAGACGCTGAGGCAATGGATGTGGATGTGGAGGGGGAGGATGCAGCTAAAGCTGAGTCAAGCAACAATGCAACAAATGTACAAATTGCCGATAGTAGCGTAAAATCAACGGAGGTAGTGGCAACCACTATTGACGATACTAAAACAGTTGAGTCCAGCAAGCCGTCATCGAATACAACAACAGACGCGCCCAATTTATCGGATCCATCACTTTTGGAGCTACTTAATTGGCTCGACAATCCGCCAACGGATTTAACATGCGCCTCCGAATTCTGCATCACCATAGAAGATTTCATGGAGGCAGTCAAAGTCGTGCAGCCTTCTTCAAAACGTGAAGGCTTCATAACAGTACCAGATGTGACGTGGGCCGATGTCGGCTCCTTGCAAGATATACGCGAGGAATTGCAATTGGCCGTCTTGGCACCAGTGAAATTCCCGGAAAAATTGCTCACACTTGGCTTGACTGCGCCGTCGGGTGTGCTGCTCTGTGGACCGCCGGGTTGCGGTAAAACATTACTTGCTAAAGCCATTGCCAATGAGGCGGGCATTAATTTCATATCGGTTAAGGGACCGGAGCTAATGAATATGGTGTGTACAATTTCGTGCTTCAAGCGAAAATTCAAATTATCATCTCAATATATTGCTTATTAACATTTTAGTATGTGGGCGAAAGTGAGCGTGCTGTGCGCGCTTGTTTCCAGCGTGCGCGTAACTCGGCACCATGTGTCATCTTCTTTGACGAATTCGATTCGCTGTGCCCGAAGCGTTCCGATACGAATGAAGGCGGCTCAGGTACGCGTGTCGTCAACCAATTGCTTACCGAAATGGATGGTGTCGAAGATCGTAAAGGAGTTTACATTTTGGCCGCCAGTAATCGGCCGGACATAATCGATCCGGCTATACTGCGTCCCGGACGTTTGGATACGATACTTTATGTAGGACTGCCGCAAAAAGAGGAGCGTGTCGCTATACTAGAGGCTACAACGAAGGTGAGAAACATTTGCTATAAATATATTATGCAGTTATGTGTAAAAAAATTGCTTTTTGGTTAATTTATTAACCTTATTTATTTGTTTTTATATATAATTTGTTTTTATATATAATTTGTTTTTATATATAATTTGTTTTT